AACCAAGAATAGATTCCCTGGGTCACTTAAAAAAAAAAGATAGACAAACAATACTACCTACTACTAATAATAATATAATAATAAATAGACAGAAACCTCACCAGAACAAGAATATATACATCCACCACCCCACAACACACAACCCAAACCCCCTACAAACCAAAAACCTCTCTCTCACCCCCTCCCAAAAACACCCTCCCCCCCCCAAAAAAAAAAAAAAAACGCGAAGCAACCGCCATCTGTCGGCCCGAGCGCGACGTCGCGGCAGAAACGATTGTCTTGGCGGCAGGTTCAAACCCACCGCCCTCTCCGCCTCGGCGACAGAAAGAGAGAAAGCAGACAATGATATTCGCTGGGGCGCCTGATAAGCCAAACGGTGGCCCTTTGATGTCATTGTGACCTTCTGAGGCGCTGCCAACCCTCGCGGAACTTTAAAGAAGACCTGGAAGAGCCGTGGCACCCAGGCACTTGGCGCTCGCTCGGATTGCTGGACCCGATGCCGCAGGATACCACGAGGTACTACAGGGTACTGCGGGAGCCTTAGGGTATCAGAGAATACCACGAGGTACTACAGGGTACTACAGGAGCCTAGGGTACCAGGATACCAAAGGAGCCACAGGAGACCATAGGGTACTGCAGGGGCCACAGGGTATATTATGGGATACCAAACGAGCCACAGGATACCACAAGATACCATAGGAGTCACTTGGGTACTTCAGGATACCGCAACATACCACAGGAGCCACATGGTACCAGAAGAGCCACGGGGTACCACAGGATACCGCAGGAACCAAAAAGGTACAACAGGATACCACAGGAGCCGCGGGGAATTTTATGAGCTACACAGGGTACCAATGAACCTAGAATAAAAGACCTAAAAAGTATACCACACGCACCCCAACGTGCCACAAAAGCCACAGCATACCACTGGAATTACAGGAGTACCAAGACTACACTGGGTACCAAAAATACTACAGAATACCACAATAGCTACAGCATACCACAGGACAACACAGCTACACGTTTAATATAGCTGCAACAGCCAACAACTTAATTAAATCTCAACCGCCATTGTTCAGAGGCAAGAGCTCCAATCATATACATATATAAAAAGTAAATACGGCTTCATAATTGACATCGGATTAATCAACAATTTCATCACCGTTCAAGATTGGATAAAAAAAATAATAAAAATAAAAATAAAACGCATTGATATACGTGTATGACCATTCTCTGTGAGCGGGATTCGAACCCTCAATATTCTGGAGTTTGAAGATCATCACGAATTTAGCAATGTCACCACCTCAGCTCTTGTGGTGAGAGGAGGAGCATCGTCACTATCATCACTTGCTTTAGAATCATCATCACTTCGACTTTGTGATGACAGTTGGGTCTTAGGGTCATCACTAGGTAAACTTTGTGATGACGGTGTAATCTTACCTTAGGTCATCACTAGGTAAACTTTGTGATGACGATTGTAATATCAGATAGTTAGGATCATCACTAGTTAAACTTGTGATGACAGGTGTAACTTTTTTGTGATGACTCTAACATCACCGCTAGTTCAGTTTTCTGATAGCTAACCTTGTGATGACAGCGATATCATCACTATCTCACAGTCCTCACCACTTCAGGCTTGTGATGAAATATTCAAAACCCTCCCCGTCATCACCAACACAGAATCCTCTCCGACTCAACATCTTCACCTCGGCGGCTATCATCACCATCACCATAGCCATCACCACCATCATCACCAACACCCGCACCACCACCATCATCCACCATCATCACCCACACCACCACCACCACCATCATCATCACCATCACCACCATCCCCACCCCCACCCCTATCACCCCCCACCACCATCCCCACCACACACCCTCACCACCATTCCCATCCCCATCCTCATCACCACCACATCCCACCCCACCAACACCCCCCATCACCACCCCACCCCATCACCACCACCCTCTCCCCAACACCCTCCCGACCCTCACCCACAATATTCCCTCTCCAACAGCCAGCATAAAATTGCAGGCGCCCGGAGCCACAGGGAGCCGAGATCTCAGTCCTGCAAGATGTTGACTTTGCAACAAATAACTGATGCCGCGTAGATGTTAGTGTTTGTCTCGCCCTCACTGAGCCAGTCTACAGTTAACTTATTCGCTCTCTGCTCTAACTGACTGGGTTTCTATTGACTCTGTTGACCTTATTCCGTGACTGGATATTTCTCTGTCTTCTCCAACTGACTGGGTTTCTCTTGACCTCTGTCGACTCTTTTCCGTGACTGGATGTTTCACCGAGTCAGGTCATTGGGTCTAGCAATTTTTTGTTTGTTTGTTTGTTTTGTTATTGTGGTGATTTATATGTGGGTGTTGGTGGTTGTGTGGGTCGTTGCTGGGTCACTCGGTGTTGGTTTTGTTGTGATAACTTAGTCTATGAGAAAGATATCAGGATGGAATTGATGATAATAATAGTAATGGCTATGATAATAATTATGATGATAGTAATAATAACAATAATAATGACAATGATGACAATGATAATGATAATGATAACAATGATGAAAATAATCATAATAACGATAATGAATATAATAATTATAGTGGTAATAATAATTAAGGTATAGATAATGAAAATCACCATTATCATCCTTATTCCAAATAATGATTATAGTAATAATGATGATAATACGAATAATAAGGATAGCGTTAATAATGATTATCAATAAAATCAAAAGCTAGCAACATCAACCTTTCAACCCGAAAGTAGTTTTCTTTGTTTTCCTTTTAATTGCCCATTAACCATTATGAGAAGGAACTTTTGTTTTCTTTTTTACAGTTTTCTCTCTCTTGTATATATATATATATATATATATATATATATATATATATATATATATATATATATATATATATATATATATATATATATATATATATATAATTACAACACACCACACACACATTATATATATATATATATATATATATATATATATATATATATATATATATATATATATATATATATATATATATATATATATATATATATATATATATATATATATATTTATTATTATATATATAGCTGGTAAAAAATAAATGAATTAATAAAATAAAAAATAAGATAAAAGACACAAAAACAATAAATAAATGAATAATAATAAAAATAATTATAATAACAATGATAATAATAATAATGATAATAATAATGATAATAATGATAATAATAACAATGATAATATCAATAACAATAGTAATAAAAGTTTAAAATAGCAGAGAAAAAAGTAAAGGAAATTATCTTGAAAATGCGAACGTGGAAATGAGTCCCTGTGTAGTCTTTGGGAAGGAAACCTCGACGTGAAGACGAGCTGGTTTCCTCTTCTGTTTTCTGTTCCCATTCTCTTTCTTTGATTTCCCTTTCCCGGTTATTATCACTTTTCTTATTATTTCTCCTTTTTTTGTCTTTCGAAACGTTCCTTTCTGTTTTGATTTTCTCTCTGTCTCTGTATTTAAGATTCTGTTTTTGTCTGTTCTCTTTCTTTTCTCTTTCCCTTTCTGTCTCTCTTTCTCTTTGCCTGTCTGTCTCTTTTTCTGTCTCCCTCTCTCACTCTCTCTCTTTCTCTCTGCCTCTCTCTCTCTCTTTCTCTCTCTGTCTATCTTTCACTCTCTCTCTCTCTTTTCCCCCCCTCT